TTCCTCTTCTTTGTGGTATATTTTAATAAGCAGATATTCTTACTTTTAATCAAACTTATTTTACAGTTAGCATATTTTAATGTCTTGCTTTAGAACTCTTAGGCATTATTTCCCTATATTTTTCTGTTAGAAATTCTAAAATTTTGCCTTTCACTTCTAAATCTATAATCCATCTATATTTATATATTTTTTGTTATGGTGTAGGAGGCAATTTCATTATTCTTACTATGGATAGCCAATCATGCTCTGTATTAGATAGTCCCTTCTTTCCTTAGTATATTAGATTCCTATTATTTCTGTAATAGTTAACACAAACTTAGTGGCTTAAAACAAAACAGATTTGTTATTTTACAGTTATGAAGGTCAGAAGTCTAAAATGGTTCTCATGGGTTAAAATTAAGGTGTCCGTAAAGCTGCATTCCTTCTGGAGGCTTTAAGGGAGAATCTGTTTCTTGACTCCTACAGCTTGTAGAAGCTACCCTTATTCTTTGGCTCACAGCTCCCTTCCAACTTCAAAGCCAACACTTGCATCACTCCCTCTGACTCTGTTACCTTCTTCTTTAATTTATAAGGACATTGGGCACACCTGGATAATCCAGGATAATCTCTTCATCTCAAGATTCCTAATTTTGTCATAGTTGCAAAGTCCGTTTTGTAGGAGAACGTATTTACGGATCCTGGGTGTTAGGGCATGGACATCTTTAGGGGGCCATTTTTCTGCCTTCGTGATCTGTACTGCCCCTTGTATCATATATCATTTAAACATAAGAGTCTGTTTCTGGATTCTGGATTCCATTGCTCTATTTTCTTACTGTGTTCCAGGACTATACATAATCACACTATCATAATTAATGATAGTGACTCTTTATAATGACTCTTTGTATGTGATAGGCATAATCCTTAACCTGTTCTTCTGCTTCTGAATGTTTTGGCTATTTTTGGACTTTGACCTTTTTATACAAATTGTACAACCAATTGGTAAGTTGATCCAAATCCTATTTTAATTAGATTTTAATTAGAACTGTATAGAACCTATAGATATAATTGAAAATACTAGAAATTGAGACTCCTTGTAGATGAACATAATCTGTCTCTCAATCTATTTATATCCATTTGACAGCTTTATTAATGTTTTTTCTATATTCTCTGTAAAGGTTTTGATTATACACAATTAAATTTATTCTTAGAAAGTCTTATTTATTTTTTACTAATGCCATAAATGGTATCTCTCTCTTTTTAAAATTACTAATTATATGTTGCTGATGTACAGAATACAATTGATTTTTTTATATTGATTTTGTATAAAACACCTTGCTAAGCTCTTTTACTGATTCTAATGATTTTTCTGAAATTACTTTGAGCTTTTTATGTATTTAAATCATATAAACCTTGAGTGGCATTTTGTTTCTTACTTTCTGACATTTATAACATTTATCTTATTCAGTGGCTTAAATCTTCAATGTTGAATAAAACGAGAATGTGCATCTTTACCTTGTTTTTGGTATTATTTTACTATTAAATAAACAATTCTTACTGGTTCTAATAGAAAGCTTCTATTGGGTTAAGGACGTTTCTTTCATTCTTCAGATGATGTGAGTTTTATAATGATTGAAATTGAATTTTATAAAATTATTTTTCTTATTAAATAAAATGTTAGCCTTTTTTTTTTTTTTTGTCCAAATAAAATGTTAACCTCTTTTTCTCCATTGCCAATATGTGAATTATAATTAGGGGTTATAAATCTTAAACTACCCATGTATCTGTGATAAACACAACTCAATCATTATGTATTTTTTGTATATACAACAGGCCTTGGTTATGCTACTGTTTTGTTAAGTGGGTTTTGTTTCATGAGTGGATTTGCTCTATAAATTTCCTTTTCTGATTTGCTCTTACTATCAAGGATATTAGCCTGCTAACTGAGTAAAGAGATATTTCTCCATTTCTTTCTTGGATAGTCTGCTATTAGCTCACAATCTCAGGAATTTCCTGGGTGAATTTCAAACCTAGCCCCCATACACGGAGGGCAAGAACAGACTGAAGAAAGAGGCAGGCCACTGAAGATTGGTAGTTGAAAAGTTTAATAAGCAAGGGAACTTATAGATGAGGCTTGTCTTGGGTGGCTGCAAAATGAGTAGATCTCAGCACCTGCCCACCAGAATCTTCAGAGTTTATATAAAGACCTTAATAGGGTTCAGTCATGTATACAGTCCAGATGGTCTCCATAATATATCACTATTTCTCAACGCTGTGTCCTTGAAGGGACTCCTATTGTGGGATCAGTGGGCAGAACATAAATTCCAAGGACAAGTGAGGGGGTAAAGAGCCTCTGGTTGCCGAAATCGAGGTGGTGGGGTCAATCAGCAGTCACATCTTGTCGATGACTCCTCCAACAACTGCCTAGATTGAAATCATGATATATTTTCTAAAGGTCTAGTAATATTCCTTTGTACAACTACCTGGGATTGTTAGTATTTCTTTGTAGGACATTTCATTATGATATTATTTTTAAAATAATTTCCCCTCCATTTTTAATTGAAGTCCTATTTACATATTGTGAAATGTACAGGTTTTAGTGTACGACTTGATGAGTTTTGACAAAAATCTACCTACACTTTCAGCAAAATAGAGAACAATTCCATCACCCCAGATGTTTCCTTCATGCCACTTTCCAGCAAGTCCAAACCTGGCCTTCTAGTTTCCACAGGCAACCACTCTTAGGAATTCTAACACCATATATTATTTTGGCCTCTAGAGTTTTGTAACAATGGAATCTAACATGATATACTTTTTTGTATCTGGCTTCTTTCACTCAACATAATTGTGAGATACATCCATGCTGTTATGTTAATCAGTGACTAATTCTATTTATGTATAAACTTACTGATTTTTTTTCCCCTTGGATGGGCATTGGTTTATTTCTAGTTTAGTGGTGATTGTGAGTAAGGATATTCTTGTACAAGTCATTTTGTAAACATAAGCTTTTATATTCCTTGGTTAAATACCTACATAGAATTTCTGGGTCATAGTGGAACTCTATGTTTAACTTTATAAATAACTGTCAATCTTTCCAAGACAGTTGTATCATTTTAAACTGCTAATAGTGGCTGTCTCCTACTTCCAGATCCTCATCAACATTTGGTCTTTTTTTTGTTTTAGTAATTCTGATATGCGTGTGTTTAATTATTGACTTGATAGAGTTTTTTATAGATCTACATACTAATCATTTTTAAAGTTTTTATTTTAATTCTGGTTAGTTAACATACAGTGTTATATTTAAGATACTAATCATTTTTTGCATGTATGCACGGGCAGTATATTCTCCCAGATAATTCCTAAGAAATTATCTATTTAATTTCTTAATGGTTTTTGGATCAGCCAAAGTTTGAGTGAATGCTGTTTGCTTACTATTAAGCAGCCTTCCCCAGTTTAAATTTGCAAGGGCATTCTTGTATGCTTTCTAACTAGCATTCTTACCATTTTAGTTTTTATGTTCAGATCTATGATAGATCCCAAAATAAAGTTTGCCTAAATGTGAGGTAGGACAGAAAAGGTTTCTTAGTGTTTGTTTTGTTGTGGGTTTTTGTTTGTTTGTTGCATATGAATGTCCAATTGTTCTAGCTTCATTTACTAAAAAGATTTGCATTTCAAATTTTATTGCTGATGCACTTTTGTTGAAAATCAATTTACCTTCTAAATGTATAGTCTTTCTGAACGTTATACTGTTCCATTTATCTATTTGCCTATAGGTACAGCAGTCCACACTTCACTACAATATTAAATAAATGTGGTGAGAGCAGACATCCTTGAATTTATCCTAGATTTAGGGGAAAAGCAATTAGTCTTTAACCATTCAATATGGTGTATTATTACTACAGGACTATAGATTTAAAAATATTTATAGAAAACCTCTGATTTAGAAAGCAGTAACTTAATTTTATTTATCTTTGTTTTTCATTTACCCAACAAGCTTTTGGTGCATTCTAAGCCCCTTGTATTTTTTAAATTAATCAGTGAATGATTATCCAAGTCATTTGGTGTGGTAATGTGCCATTCAGTAGCTGACAACATACTCTCATAACTGCTCTTATTTCACCTGTTTTTAACCATGTTTCAGGATGAATAAACAAACTGAAAAACCTCCCAGAATTTCCCATTTAAAGAAACTGTTTTGTATATATGTGGTATCAGTAGTGTTTTAAAGTTTTCTGTATATGTGATCACATCTTTTATTTTCTGATCCTTAGAACAGCTCTTTAACATAGAGAATGTAAGATTGAAGAATAATTGAATCGTTTTATGCCTAGTCATGAAATTTGGAATAGAATGTTATAGGCACAGATAATACTTAACAAAAATGAATATTAAATTTTATTTTAAAAATCTATTTAAGGGGCACCTGGGTGGCTCAGTTGGTTAAGCATCTACTGTGGCTCAGGTCATGATCCTGGGGTGCTGGGATCCAGCCCCACGTCAGGCCGTCAGGCTCCCTGCTCAGCAGGGGAGTCTGCTTCTCCCTCTCCCTCCCCCTGCTCATGCTCTCTCTCTCTCTCTTTCTCTCGCTCACTCTTTCAAAAATAAATAAATAAAATCTTAAAAATCTATTTAAAATATTAACCTTTGCAATTTTGAAGGTGCATAGTCTAAAATAATTTTTTTTTCAATAATCTGGAGAGGAAAAGCCTTTAGAAATTTGGTAAACCATAGTTCTCCTTAATTTCTTTCTTATAAGTGATCTATTTATTTGATTATGTAAGTACTATATATGATATAGTCAACATATTATTGATTTTGGCAATCCTTTAGAAAAGGTCTCCTTTTTAAAATGGATCCTAGATTAGAGGTCTGAAATAGTTTCGTGTGTGTGTCTATGTGTGTGAATGGCATAACTCTCTTCTGCATGCTAAAGTTTGAAAAGCCCATAACCCATCATTTATTTTTGGTGCAAATTATTATTTTTTTCCACTTTAAAACAGAATTTTCTTGATTTTGTTTCCTAGTTCAATTTTGTGGGGAAATTGCTTGGACCAAGAGGAAATTCCTTGAAGAGACTACAGGAAGAAACAGGTGCTAAAATGTCTATCCTGGGCAAAGGATCAATGAGAGATAAAGCAAAGGTACTGAACTTTGAATTTGATTTTTAACACATACAGGGCCAAACTTACACTCAGTGCCAAATTTACAAGCACATCTGCACTGTTCTTCCATTGTTTCCTACGATTTTCACCTTCTGGGACCACCTTGTTGCACTCTCAGTCAATTCCTCTATTTTCATAAAAATCAATTACCCTTCTTCCCCCCTCTGCCCAGAACATGTAATTCTGCATCTTTATTCTTTTTGGTCCTTTGTGTAGGTTGTTGCGAAATCTCCTTACTTTTTCTGTGTCCTCTGTAGGATGTTTCTATATGTCTATGCTCATTTTCTTTAATTCCCTGTCTGGATCCCTTTTCTCTCTTCAACTATGTCACCTAATCACATCCATTGTATCATTCTCTTTTTATCTCTATGCACCATTTCACTCTGATCCTCTTACCTGAAGCAATTTCAAATACTTATCTGCAAATCTTAGAGAATTCCACTTATTTTCTGAAATGTTTCAGTCATGTTAAACAATTCATCTGACCCCAAAAGAACAAATAAGCTGAGAAATATATGAACTTTGATGTTTGAAATGATTTATTTCACATCTGAACTACATCATTTTCCCATTTTATAAAGTGATAGCGATTTTCTCTGTGTTAAAATTCATTGTTTTGGAAAAATAACAACCGTTTATAGAGATTTATTCATAAAGGATCTTTTAAAATTCATTGAGAAAGGGTGGATGTATTAGGGTACTTTTTATTTGACCAGACCATGCTTTTCTGATTTGATATGTTACCATGGAAAATAAAATGTTCAAACTGTTATTTCTGACTATGGGAATTACTTAGGAAAATTGTTTAGGTGTTCTCTCTTTTAACTATTAATGTGAAATCTTGAAGAAAGTTATAGTAGGAAATGTCACCAAACAGATATCTCATATCTTACAGTGTACACTTCATACTGGTTTTTTTTTTTTTCACACCTTTTTAAGATTTAGATCAGGCATCATCTCCCCAATGGCGCTTTTCTGAAACTCCTTTGATAGGCTAAATCCTCTCATCACTTAACATATTTTGTTGAAATTTTGTTTCTCTCATTAAACTGTACATTCCTACCAGCCAGAGAAATAAAGTAGTCAGCTTCACATACCCAGAGCATCTGTGTAGGCACTCCATACCTTTCAAAGCAAATGGGTGTTTATTGTTTATTCCCATATACTTGGAATTTTTTTTTTCTGTCCACAGAGCTTTACATTGGATTTCTTTTTCCCTGTGAGCATGTTAGGAACCAGCATAAGTATTTGAAAATCTAGTTGGAAACACATTTAGTTCTATTAAGTTTCCATTAGGTTTAATTTACTGATATTAGCTGTTACTTAAAATCCAGCTTCTCACTGATTACTTTTTGGGTGATCAATCATGTTTGTCCATCCTTCAAGCATTTTCATTGTTCCTTTACAAAATGAAAGAAAATGAAAACATATAATAATAATAATAATGTATTGCACTATACACTATGTTTTATAGACTCTGAATAAGACCTTAACTGCCAAGGGTGGTGGGCACACAGCTGAAATAAAACCACAGACACGGATATGCAAAAATTTACCTTAGGAAACATTTGATTAAAATAAAAATAAATCCTTGGTAAAATATTGATCACTGTGCTGCTATTTTACCTCTCTGCAACATGATCTGATCAGGAAGGAAGACTTTATATGTGATTTTGTTCTTCTAACAAATAAATAAAACTTATCTGATTCTTCAGTGGAAATATATATGTGTGTATGTGTTTATACAGGAATATATTCATGCATTAATTGCAGACGTATTTATTGCTGTGTCACACTGTGTGTCATCTGTAATTCTAGTCCATGGTAATGAATATGACAAAACTTTTTCTCCTCCTAGAGTTTACAATCCAATGGGAGAGACAGACAATAAGTAAGTGAATAAACATTCACTTATAAACAATTTTAATAATTATTATGTATTAAAATAATACAGATTGTTTTTCTGTGTTGGCTCTGCTATTAAGATGCCACACAATGTATGTCTTAAACTTGGTCTTTGTTTCATGATAGAAAGGAGATATTTGGATAGCTATCTAAATCAGGATGAAATAACTATGCAAAAGCATTTCTTACACATCTGCTATGTGCTCAACTGTAGATTACATATTATGTTATGTAGAAAATAAGTATTAGACAGGAGTCAAGCCCTCACAAAACTTTTAATTTAATTAAACATCCTGATCTGTTTCACACTTTCTTTAAAAAAAAAAAGTTAAGAAAGTATCAATCATTGAATTAGAAGGTGGAGAGAGTGACATTCTCATTTAATTTAATTTTTACAAATGTAAGAAGACTACTTCATCCTTAGAAAAGCATGAAGTTTCAAGAGTTGTTATAAGATCATTATAAAATTGCATGATATAGAAAATAGTTTTGGTGGTTTGGTGTAGTAAGAAGATTCTAACAAGTTCAATATTTTTATTTGTCTTACTTTGGTTTTGGTGGGCTTGGGGGGAAGCATTCCTTTTCTTTTAGCTACACCTAGCCAATAACTCTGTGAGCAGAGAGAGAAAACAAAAACCAAAACAAAATGAGATGTGGTAATATCCAAGGTAATACCAGTAGCAAAATCCTACCTTATATTCAATATTTTATTCCCATACTGGTCAGATCACTCAATATGTGAACTCACATTTTGCCAAGAACTATCCAGGAATGCTTGAACAGAAGCTAACTTTTAAATGGTGATGATAAACATATTCTTACAGAAAATTAGAAAGTAATATATACAGTATGTTTGCAATATTTCAAAATATCTCAGGAAATTAACTGGCAGTTCAGAAATTTCTTTGAAGTCTGAATCCCTCATACACCATATGGCCAGCCAGTTCTAAATAACCACGCAGCTGCCAGCTTCTCTAGCAGTTGCTTCTTCTTCTTTTTTTTTCCCCTAGCAGTTGCTTCTGAGCAATCTTCAGGGGTAACTTACTGTAGCTTCAGATAGAGTGTTGCTATTTTTAGTGATGCTGATGGCAGAGATTGGTGAGGGAGAACAGAGGAAGCAGTGGTCTGCAGGCTTATCTTTGAAAAGAGTGAGGAACAAACATATTATCTTCAAGAAAAAAGGTTTGCGAGGTTAGAGAAGATCAGACAAAAGCTGAACACACCCAGATAAGAGTGAGGTAACAGCAGGGAAGCCTCAAAGTAAATTTCTTGCCTACCTCCATTGTCCTTAAATGGAAATCACAAATAGACATGTTGCAAATAAATTATGTTGTAATGAAAGGTGTTCTGACATTTCTGTTAATAAGCTTGGTTGAAATTATGGAATGCAGTCTTAAAACATGCTGGTGATTATATGTTAAAAGTATAGTGCTGTTTGGTGGAGTTTTATTTGAAAATGTGTGATAATTCTCTAGGCAAGCCTTTCTCTCTTTGATGTGCTAATATCATGTGCAGGTTTCTATTTTATAATATATCTTCTGTATTTGGTGATGGCTACTTTAGTAAATCCTTTCTGATTTCATGGCAATTTGATTTTCATCAACAATAAAATCAACTGAAAACCTTCAAAGTGATGCTGCTGCCTGGTGGGTGTGAACCCATACCAATCATCCTTCTCTCATTTGGCTTCTGGGCTATGCCTCACATCAAATGGCACCATTAGTCTCTCAAATCCTGCTTGTCAGTCAGGCTGGGATCGGTTAGGTAGACTCCTGTTTCAACTTTTTAATATCCGCAGCAACAAAGCAATTTGTAATCCCACAAAATCAAGAGCCCAGACACTCTGATTTTAATTTTAGCTGTGCCCCTAATACACTGCACCACAGATCAGCAATGTTTCTTTTCTGTTTTGCTCTGCAGGAGAGAATGCTTAGCCCATCATTACTTCCAAACAGACATAGAGGAATAAGCATTCTTCTTTTTTTTTTTTAAGATTTTATTTATTTATTTGACAGAGAGAGAGAGCACGAGCAGGGGGAGCAGCAGAGGGAGAGGGAGACGCAGGCTCCTTGCTGAGCAGGGAGCCCCATGCGGGGCTCGGTCCCAGGCCTGGGCTGAAGGCAGATGCTTAACCGACTGAGCCTTCTAGGCGCCCCTGAATACGCTTTATTCTTTGCTTAAGTATCACTTGAGTTTGTGAAGGACAAAGAGTAGATGAGAAATTACAGATAGGTGGGAATTTATTTATTTTTTTGAAAGATTTTATTTATTTATTTGAGAGAGAGAATGAGACAGAGAGAGAGAGCATGGGAGGGGGGAGGATCAGAGGGAGAAGCAGACTCCCTGCTGAGCAGGGAGTCCAATGCGGGACTCGATCCTGGGACTCCCAGGATCATGACCTGAGCCGAAGGCAGTCGCTTAACCAACTGAGCCACCCAGGTGCCCGGGAATTTATTTTTGATCTATTCACTGCATTCTTCTGTTTCTTGGATCTGAACATTGAGAAATTAGAGTAACAGACTGAATGGTCCCACCTGAAGGGTAGGGGAACAATGCACTACAAATAAGTGTTTTGTGAGAATGCAAGGAAACTAGTTTCAATGGCAAACCAACACAAGCGTATCTCATCCTATGATATATTTGAACTCTAAGTGACCAAACAACAAAAATAGTCAAGTTTGAGTTGAAGAGTGAAATATATCATGATACTAGTGCGAAATAATTTCTTACATTAACATCTTCAACCCTTTTATGTACAGTTTGTCATTCACTATAGTGAATGACAAAGAATGAAAAAGAAAAAGAATACCATAAACCTGTCCAGGCTCAGTTCTTCATAAGCTTCAATGGCAGAGCATGAGGTGACAATCTTTTGTATGTTGTGAATCAAAGTTATGTATTACCTTAAGTCATTACTTTCCTCTAGTCTGATTTTATTTACAATTAGACAAATTGATGTTAATTTTTGTAATTAAAGCCTGCTGTTTGAAAACTTCCAAGGACCTAATGTCTTGGCCATAAACCAAGGATACTATACAAAAAATATATATATCTTTTAAAGTTACTAGTATAAT